GTAGAGTTCACACAGGGGTCTGATGCAGGTCACATTTAAAATGTAATGTGAACGTTCACACAAAAAGATCGGATTTTCTCAAAAAAGTAGCTGGAAATACTTAAAAAATACTAGACCTTAAATAGTAGACCTGCATTGTGAACGTAGCCCATGACTGTGAGGTAGCAGAACCGTCCTGTGAAGAAGTGGGCGGAGTCTCTGCTTGGGTTACGAAGAAACAAGCTGGGCTCTGGTTGGGATGGGCTGGAGRCCGGCCTGTGACATCACAGGCCGCAGGATTTGAAAACTTGACATTAATATACATGAAACATACATTTACTTAGAGCAGTGGTCTCCAAACTTTTTTCGCTTGAGAGCTACTTTCAAAAAATGAAATTGGCCAAGAGCTACTTTTTGCAAAATTTAATTTTCAATAAACTCAGAACATTAGAAAAAGCTTGTTTTGCTTGAACATACACTAAAAAACACCTCAATTCACATGAAATCATCACAAATAACACTGAATTTACATGAATATGCTTTTTGTGTTTATCCATTCATATTATAGCTTACTTCACACTCCTAACTTAGGGTTCAACATAAAGTATTTTTCTCACAAGAAGAAATTTATTTCAGTCAGAATTAAGAACTTTCAAAGTTAAGACATTAAAGTTTAAACATTCAAAACGATGCAATCTTAGGTGCAAAATATTTCTTCTTGTCGTTCTATTTTTGCACATCACTGTAATCTTATGTGTAGTTTCCTGCTTGTTTTTCTCAGTYCTTTTTTATTTTTACGTAGTGAGTTGACTGGCACTGCGTAGAATCAGCAAGAGAGTTGAATGATGGAGTGTAGCCACTTAGGTTCACCCTTATTGAGTCATTTAAATGTTCATCTGTCAGTCTTGTTCTGAACTTTGATTTTAAGACATTCATGTCTGAAAAAGCTGACTCACAGAGGTATGRAGACTCCAAAAGTGCAGACATTCTCAGAGCTGCTTGTTGAAGGTTTTTGTAGTTATTTTGGGTCTARTAAGGTTCAGAAATGCTGAGAATGTTGCTGGGACTTTAACTGCACATTAGTTTGAAGATTTATAATCTCACTCTCCATTTGTACTTGATCAGCACAGAAAAGTTCAGCCATCTGTCAACATCCATGAAGGGGTTGGCCATAAATGTCACACAGGGTGCAAGTCTCTCAAAGTCAGTGAATCTGTCTGCAAACTCCTGTCTAAGTCTTGACAAGTGGTCACAATACTTGGAAACATTTAAAACCCCAGCTGCACCTGTCTTGACTTTCCGTTATGTTTGACATCAGGGGTAGACATAAGGATTTTTTTTCAGGTTTTCCAGCGGACAACCTGTTGACAAAATCTGGTTGTCCACAAAACATTTTGGTTGTCCAAAAAAAAATCAATTAATATGTAATTTAATAGGTAGGCTATATTGTTCTGTATACGAAGTTGACTGTATACAAATGTTCTCAGTCAGCAGGTTAACAGTTTCAGGAGCTGCTTGAGTAAAACTCCTCCTCATCCTCTCCTTTGAAATAGAGAGCAAAAATCAACATCCAACAACCATAAGCTTTCTGCATTTTAATTTAATTAGTAGTATAGCCTACTGTCTACAGGACGTTATTAAAGCTACAGTTTAGTGTTCTTAGGAC